CTCGCGAGCTCATGGAGCCGCTGGATGGCGAACAGCATGTCGAGCGTCGACCGGTGTGGGCGGAAACCGCTCTGCTCCTCCGGGAGGATGCCCTCTCGCTCGCAGTAGTGGCTCAGTCGTGTAGCGACGACCTTAAGCAGCACCTTGCCGGCGTGTGCGACGAGAGAGATGCCCCGGTAGTTGCCGCACTCCATCGTGTCCCCCTTCTTGAGAAGCACTTTGATGGTGGCATCCTTCCACTGCTGTGGTACGTCCCCAGTCTGCCACACATCCACGACAATGGCGTGGAATTCGCGGAGGAGGCCTTGATCTCCGTCCAGGAAAAGCTTGATCAGCTCAGCCGGTAGGTCGTCCGGCCCGACGGCCTTTCTGTTGGCCATTTCCCGTACCGCTTCCTCAACCTCAAGTAGAGATGGGATATCGTCGAGTACGTGTGTGCGTGATTGATGTATAGGGCGTGTCTGTGTGTGCTGGTCCTGCCTCTCCCCTCCGCCCTCTCTGCGGGCGCGAGCTCGCCGCCAGCACAGCGCCACACATTGGCACATGCATATGCATGTCAACCATGCTGGATCGGTCTCGCTTCCATGGCGTAACCCGTGCATCTCGCATTCATAGACTTAGCGAGCAGTAGTCCACGGGGTAATGTACGCGTGTGTGCATGTTTCCAAACGGATCAATTGTGCTTGGGTACTGCCCGGCCATTTTTGATTTAGAGCGGAAGAGTTGATGGTTGGTGTGGTTTCGCAGGGGTGGAAACTGATTCCTGCCCCGTTGCCATGGTTGTTATCGGGCGGGAAGATTCGCCGTTTGGTATCCCATGGTTGGGAGGGAAAAGGAGTTGGGAAGATTCCTGCGGGGGGATCGATTGATGAAAAGGGTCTCATGTCCCGTCAGGTCAGGGTACATTTTCGAAAACAGGGTACAGCAGTTGTTGAGAAAGTAGTCACGGCAGGGTATACCCTGCGCCTTTTCGGACGCACCAGGGTGAAACTGGGCGCTGACCAATGATACGAGTGCATTTACTGCTGTTGATGACTGTGTACGGGGTGTCGCTTTTCGACCAGTTAACCCTGTTGTATCGTTTTCCCAAAAAAAAAGTATCCGTGAGCTGTAATCTCATCTATTCTGGATGTAAAGACGAGACATTTTGGAATAGGTGGACGCACCAGCAGGTGTCTAACAGCGGTGCACAGCTAGACTATACATTCATTCGCCTACAAACGGAGAGGGGCCAAAAAGCTGAAGACAGGTAACCAGGCATGAAATAGAAAGCGTTTTGTACTCTCAGCTGCAGGGCTGCAGTCCAGCAGTACACCAGTAAACCGCATTGGTCTATCGTGGCTGAAGCAAACCCTCACCTGGGCCTCGCCGAAGAGCTTGGCGTTGCTGGTGAGACCGAGGGATTCAAAGAGACGGGGGAGAATAAAATCCTCCGGCTCGTGCTGGTGGTGGGGCGGCACGGACCTCATTGTTGTCGTCAGGCTGTGGTGTCGAATCTGCTCTCTACCTTCGCGCGACTTTGTCTCTCGTTCCGGTCCCTCTTGAAAAAACACGCCCGATCTCCTTGCTGGAAGGATCCGTTGATGAGGATTCGAAAGGCAGATAGGAGAGTGTTCTTGGACGGGTCGTGCAGGTGAGAATGGTAGCGGTTAGCAGCAGCAGTTGGTTTACGAGACTGTGAGTCATCAGAGTCACAATTAGGGTCCCCGCAGATTGCGGGACTGTCATTTTTTTGTAACGGCTACAATGTTATGCATTTTTTTCCACCAAAAAGAGGGCAACAACGATCATTCGATCATCCTTCTCCGGCACCAAATCTCCCAGAACTATCTACGGTAACGTGGCCGAAGACCCGCGTGTGGTTGGTCTGGGCTAAGAGACTATTAGTTATGGAGACGTTCGTGCACGCTGGTAGTACAGGGCTCTGAGAGAACAGGGCCATCTCGAGAGGTGATGGCTTCCTCCCCGTCTCATGCGCAACGACGATCGAAAAAGTTGATGTTGTCGACCATTGACCACAATGACGCCCAGGAGAAACCACGCTTCGCCAGGGCTGCCGCTGCTGCTAGTTCTGCTGCGGGACAGAAGTACGGTGTGCAGGAATGGGAAGGCCCTACACCGTCGTGTACGTATGGATCCCGGCGCGGTTGTGCCGGGCGAAGACGGGCACTACTGCGGTAGCATTCACAGCTGTAGTGTACAGTAGTACTACGGTAGACTGTTGTACTGCTCGCGCATTCTTTCAGACACGTGTAGGAAACGGTGTGCTTTTACATGCAGTAGAACGATGTTTGAATGTAAAATGAACAACAGTTGTAGCTGTGTGTCCTACGCGTGCTTTCTGTTCGACATGTCTCCGGAGCTTTACATACGCTCCCATCGTTTGCCTCGCGCCGGGTTCCTCCCACTTCCTCCAATTCAGCGGGTACACTCCCTCCCAGCTTCACGAAGCCATTCCGCAGCCATCATCGCCACCACCGCCACCAACCCCACCACGCACCGCCACTGCTCATTGCTTCCCGCCCACGAGCAACTCTTGCCTCCGCAGCCGTTTCGGAAGCCGCGGCTCCGCAGACACTGCAAGCGGCCAACTCGCTCGCAACGCTGGGCGGCGTTGGCTCTCTGCTGTCCCCGCAGAACAATGCTCTACATGCCAACGCATTTTCCTCGGGGAGGAGAAGCAACATCCTGCCACGGAAACGACCCCGAACCTCTTCCCACCTCTACGGTCGAGACAACAACGATTTCATCAACGAGGTCCCTGACGTGCTGCTAGGGTCGCCGGCTCCAGCGGGTGTGTCTCCCATTCGTGCCCGCAATCGGAACGGGAATACGAGTGGTGATGGAGGTAGCCTCTGGGGACTAAGCGGCGTTCCGCCAACTGGGGTGATAGATCCAAGGACGAGCGCGGAGCCTCTCGAGAAAGGGTGGGCGTGTCCGACTTCCTCGGTGGCGACATCCACCTCTAGTCTTTACGACGGCTTCTCGGATGTGAGCAATTGCAGGCCGCCGTTGCTTTTCTTGTGGAGGAGGACTCGAACGTATCGAGCTTGTACCTATCGTAAAGCTTGGCATTGGCGGTTCTGCAAACAAGAGCATTATACGGCTGACATGCCTGGCCCTCTGTAGCTTACTTCTGTCTTTAAGTCTCCCTCTCTCTCTCTTTCTCTGTACGCCCTGACCCCCGGTTTGAGTACGTTTATTACAAGGTTGTCACTTGAAGATCGCCACCCTCTCTAACACTCCCTCACCCCATCTCCTTTGTGCACGCACTCCGTTTCTTACTTCTTCCACTGAACTCGGTTCAAATACGCTGTCTGAAGGTCTTCGCCACCCCTGTGCCAGGCGGGTCTCGCCGTGCCGCTCTTCAGCCGCACCCGGGTCGGTTTAAAGTCGTACCTGGCCGACTGAGTCGCTCAGCAGAGGTGAGTGAGTGGTCTCGTTCCGTATCAGGCGCTTGCTTTTTGGAATACAATATTTGTGCGTGAAACAGCGCATTTTCATCGTATCGTACTTTATCGGGTTAACGGCTGGGGCAGCCTCGAAACAATGAAGCAATACTGTGGGTAGTGAACGATTGTTTTTACCCAGTTTTTTTTAGGGCGATGGGATGGCGTGGTAGTTCAGTCCATTGGGCGGGTCCACAAGGACACTGGATGAGGGACGAACACACATCGCGGCTATGTGCGTCATTCATGTCCTAGGCGAGCCGAAAAGCAGGTCTCGGCGCCTGTGAGCATCTGCACCGACAGAGAAAGCACAAAACCCGTTCTGGGTACCTGAGTTCGTATTCTCGAGTGTGCGCCCTCCCTCCCCGAAGACAAAACCAACAGCCAAGCACCGACACATGAGATTACATGAAAATCATATCTTGGACGGACACGGGAATAATCTCTTCCTGTACCTCACCCCAGATCCCCCCCCTCCGCAACAATGTTTCCGATTTCCTCCGCGTATACGACTCATGGAAAACTGCTCACCTTTTGTGCAACTCACCGAGCATACCTTTCGCGTACGCACGTACCTGATAGGCACTGGCGCGTTCCGCGTCAGCATAAAAAGAAAACGAAGTTGTGCATGGTGGTTCCCCACCGCCATCAGCTGCCAGCAATAACCCCCTCTCCTCCATCCATCGCCCCGCGATCGAATAGAGCCGCATGATATTGAACCGAAGCCCGTTTTCACATCGAATCATACATCTTCCGCACGAACAGGGTCTCACGCGTCCTCGATCGGGAGTTCGCAATTACCCTATGGAGAGCCTGGGCAACTGGCCCCTGAACACCACCGAGCGGTGGATGAAGGCGATCGTTACCCAGGACACCTCGCAAGAGCGTTTAGACAAGCTGCGGAAGATTCGGTGAGGGGGCGCGTGGATCAATCCATGGTGTATATGCTTGATGCTGTTAGGCACTCCTGGTTTCAACGTGTCAAGGCAAGGACTAGAAGAAGAAAAACAACACGACAACAAAGTGTGACGACGATGATACAACAACAGCGGCAAGGAAAGCTAATCACAACGTCTTCGTGACATCCACTGAGTGCTGTGTTATTGCACAGGCAAGTAGCGGATAATGATTACACGGAGTGGGTGCACCGATGGCAGCTTTGACGTGTGAACTAAAACGTCCCGCCTTGCCCTGTCGCGTATGCTCACCCTAGCATCCGACCATCCAAGGTGCTCACGTTTCCGGCTCTAAACACCCTCTGTCCGCCATCGTTTCCCCAACGACACCAACCCTCTATCCACGAGCCGCAGGTTGAAGCGCATTGCAGAATGCGAACGAAAGAGGGCTGCGTGGACGCCAGGTGCTGATTCCTCGAGCGATAGCGGTGATTCGTACGTGAGCGAGGAGGAGCTGGAGGTGGGCGCGGGGGACGGAGAAGGCCGCGAGGAAACCGAGCAAGAGAAAGAGAAACGGAGGTAACTTGTGCACAAAGAGAGCGCGTTGGGGGCAGGGGCTCAGAGCCTAGGTATGTGTTTCCCTGACAGAGTGACTTTTAGGAACCAATGTGGGGTGGAAATCAAGACGTGGGACAATGGAACAGTGTGATGGTGTCGCAGAGAACGGGCAAGCCTGAAGAGAAAATGGCGAGGAGACAATGAAAAACCGAAAATCCTATTTGTCACCTAAACCTTGAGATGTATCGCCAGACTCACATACCGCAATAGCTATGTATCTCACATCACATGATAGGACGTTTCATTTGTGCATATTCGAGCATAACAACCTGTAGAGTATTGCGGAGTCATTGGATGGTGCTGAAACAACAAAGCGACTACCGGGAAAGCCCTTTCGTTCGCTGCCCATATTGCCAGATGTCCAAAGAAAACTGTGGGGCGATCGCATCTTACGCACGCTGCCTCCCCCAGGAAGCTTAAGAAGGCTATCAGAAAGAAGGCACGAAGAGAGAAGAAAAGAGAAGCGGAAATGAAAAGTCGTTCTAACCGGTGAGAAGCCTCGTCTGCTTTTTATCGGAGTAATCGAAGTTTAGAAGAGGCAGGGTGGAATTCGCATTTAAAGCCCAAAGGGGACCGTCCTTACACCTGTAGATGCGAACGACCTGGCGGATATGCGATGCCAGTGCGCTCGTCGAAAGAATGTTCTCCGTGCTTTTACGTGCAAGCCTCCGTAGATGTTTATTTGGCCTACCAGTAAATAGTAGGGTGGAATCGCCTGAACAAAACCATCGTCTACAACTGTCTCTGTGTGTGAGTATTTGATCTCATTGGTTGGTTGTTTGGTAACCCCCCCGCCGAGACAACCTTGTGCTTTTTCGTTTCCTTAGCGCCCCGTTGGAAAACAAGTGTCTACCCGCAGAACACGAGCGCGATTTTCCCCTGCGATATACCAAACCGAGTTCCTGAAGGACCAAAACACGACCTGGCTCGACTTCAACCTAAGTGATATCGAACATCACCTGTTAACCTACAGGGGGAGGTGGCAGACGGCGGGCAGGCATGGTGGCCTCGTCGCCCGCGCGAAGGCCGCCGTGCCCTCTCTCGCCACCCGCGGGGACTTGGTTCAGCTCAAGGGTCACGCCGACCGCGTGCTGATCGGCAAGATCGCTCGCTGCTGGGCAACGGTGGCAGAATTTTTCGGGGTGAAACCCGCCCATGACGCAAACGAGGTGCGGTGCCTACGGCGGTGGAAGAAGGGCCGTTTGTGGGGGGAAACGTTGATAGTAACCACCGGGGGGGGGTATTCGCGTCGTCCTGGAAAGTAGGTCGAAGAAAATCTCACAGTGCGGTTTGACCTCTCGGCGCGTACTGGAGTATGCCTCCGTATCACCCCGCGTACGCAGGCACCTGGATTACGTGAAAACGAAGACACACACCACGTAAGGGTACGGACGATTGGTGAAAGCGCCTTAGGGTAGGCGTTTGGACAGCTTCCCGTCTCGAAAAGGGGTGAGTAATCCGGTCATTATGCACACAATTGTCACACATTCCTCCTATTCTCCTCGCTTGCCGTCCTCCTGTGACGCGCTTGTTCCTCTCGCCGACAATTCAAGGTCCCGCCCCCCCCTTCTGACGTCGAGCGAGACTTCTCTGGGGGGGCGGCGGAATTCTGGACGATGTTGACCGGGCCCGAGGTGCAGCTCACGCACGTGGAGATAGGTGTCGTACAGGGAAGACTCAACGACAACGCGGAGAAAGGGGGGCAGAAGAAGTTGGGAGGCAAGTCAGCTGCATTGATTCTTGCTCTTCTGCTTGTTAGGACGCTAAGCTACTAGCCAGGGCACACTATTTCTCATAAGCAACCAACCGGAAATTTAATGACGAATAAGTAGGGCATCGGAAGCACAGTAGAGGGCACAAATTTTCTTTCGAGAGATCGGCACCACAGATGAGCCCAGAACGTACTCTTGTGCACGGCAGTAGACGGGGACTCGTCAACGAGCGATAGCGTGCATATAGACATGGCGGAGAGAGGAGGCGGCAAAAAGGCTGACGGCGCCGGTTTGCTCAACACTGGCTCTACGAGATTAACCTACGGACAGGTGCAGAAGTGAAAAACGGTCTTGTTTCCTCCCAATGCTCGTAAAACCGTGCAATTCCGGCGTCCCTGTATCCCCTGTGGGTAGCCATATCACGTTCGGGTACCACTAGGGACATGCGGCCGATCAAATTCGCATGGCTCCTCGAAAGTGTGGGTCTGTACTGGAAAGGCCTACAAGGTGTCCAACTGGTTGAAGGTTTATTCCTGACATTCAGCGGCGAAATCGCAGGAAGGTCTAATCGTTGAACGTCTGAGACATACGTATTCGCGACGAATGGGCCGTTCCGAGTGCTATATTCAGTATCATGTGTCAAGAGAAAATGATAATGACTCCTGTATGGCCGATGTGCCACGCCCACCACCACAGAATGATGTCTGTTTGGGCTGGGAGCAACGGGAAAGAGATTGGCACTTATCGAAGACGAAGGTCGCAGACGTAGTTACGAGTCAGACGTCAACCCATGCGCTGGCTTTCTGAAGTTAACGGGGGCAGCCGCAGGGCTTTAGGGTCCAAAATACTACTCATCCACGTATTGAGAGAAACTCGCTAGAGTTTGGGTCAGGGTGTACCACGATGGTCACTTTCGTTTTGAAGGAGGTGGAAAGCCTCTGCGTGTAGGAGTCAAGACTGCGCTGTCGTTTGTGCGCTTGACGATACGTGCGAGAACATTCCAAATCGTTGTTTTGTTCTTGCGGCAAGCGCAACTATGCGCAGGCGAAGACAAATGATTGATCAGGTTGAGTTGACAATAAATCGCCAGAGTGGAATCTGAAGAACATGTCTCTGCTACTGTGGGTGACCCTCTTTGTTGAATGAACGCTCCTCTGATTATCAGGTCCACGCAGCACTCTTCCGGAGCCAAGACCTGGAAGCCCTCGTCGCAGCGTTCAAGCGAGAGGGAGAATTGCGGGAGAAAGAAGAACGCCGCATCGCGCTCAAAAGACAACAATTTGAGGAGTCCATGGTAGTTCGCACCACGGGAATAGTGGACTCGGTTTCTTTGAACAGCAATTTTTTTCCTGGCGAGGCTTTAACCCGCTACAGTAACTGTCATATACCGTATGGTTGTGAGTCACCGCACAGGGGTGCGACCGATTTTCAAAGCGTAATTTCTCCACTGTCGAAAAGGGTGGTTTTGGAAATATCTCATCGAGAGCTTTCCTGAGAAGTATCTGTTGGCGCTCGCACCCTCCTGCTTGTGGAGAAATTGCGCTTTGAAAAACGTTCGCACACCTGTGCGCTGAATCGTAACCTTACGGTATGCTCATCCTCGGAGCAGATCATTCTGTGTGTGTATTGGATTTTGAGAAGCCTCCTGCCGCTGCCGGATGTCCTCGCTTGTGGATACTGCCACGCCGGTGCTGAGAGGTTCCGCGGGTAGCTGCACCCTTCATACCGCCGTAGGGTGGAGAATGGTCAAGAGTCGATGAACCACCCGAATGTTTCCTCTTCTTCTCCTAGAATTCGCGATTTCGGTGCGTGTCTAAAGTTTATGTGCGCCGAGGGGAATACCATACGGAAACATCCCGGTCATTGCGTTTCACTACAAGTATGAGACCACGCGCTACCGAAGGTTGTTAACTCATCGAGCGCAGCGTCTGAAAAGGCGTGCCGACAATCCCTGGCTTCTCTCGGCACGGTCAAATACTAAACGTTGATTTCTCCAGCCATTGTACATAGCCCGGGTTTTACAAGCAGTGTCGCACTGGACTGCAGCGACACCCTCTCTGTCCGTCCCTCGAAAACAGCACCTCCGCCGGAATCCACTGAAGCCGTCCTTCTGCACCTAGCGTTTGGGTGAGCACACCAGGGGGGAAAAAGTGCGTGGCAACCAGCCCCCGTAACCCCCAACCGCCGCCCCCGGTGCCATCACTTCTCGTGTATCTCAGGCCAAGCGCAGGAGCGGACCGATCGCAGAAGTGGTAAAGGCCTACGCTGCCGGGCTGGGCTATCGGCCGTCCACTAAGACAAAACACAAACGCATCGTCGACGGGGCAGGAGGTAGTGGCGACGGTGGCGGCAGGGGCGATGGTACTGATGACGGAGACACAGCAAGCGTGGAAGCAGTCGCAACTTCCCTCGCGGCAGCGTCGTCACTGTCGTCAGGAGAGCACCATGCAACCGACTGGTGGACGGACGGAGGGGTCAGCAACCGCTGGGCGATGGGCCCCGCCGTGCGGAAGACGTTGTTCCTCTCGCTGCAAGCAGGGGCGGTGGCGCACTTGCCGCTCAAGCAAAGGCGCGCTGCTGAATTGCCGTGGGTGCAGGTGAGGTTCCCACATAAGCAGTGGGTGGGAATGGAGATGGGTTACCCTCAATCAATGACGCCTACGGAGTATATCGCAGGGCACCGGCAAACAGGATTGACTGTCTTCTTGGCGCGTGAGCTTTCCGTTCGTCTTATCGTATATTTTTTTCACTTTTCGCCGTTTCATTGTCGTTTCTTCGCCAACCGCTTGCGACGGGGTGTAATGTGTCGGCACTAAGTGCCGTGGCCCGCAGTGTGAGGTAAGTGCTCACCAACTGTTTTCACGTGGTTTAGAACTCCAGACCCAGCTGAATGGAACTAACTCTTTATTACGACCTATTGTGAGCATGCCTTTTGTCTCATCCATCTCTGCGGTCACATTTACTCTTCCCTGCTATTCCGTACCTAGCCGAGTGCTTGATATCTCCCATCAATCGATTCTCACGTGACCCGACTAATGTGCATTTCAAGGCGTCCGCGTGACGAACATGCAGATTTAAAACGCTGTATGCATCAACAGTAATCCCGTTCTTCAACTCGGAAACAATACACCATGTAACCACCACCGTCTTGCCTGTTCCCTACCACATATCAACAACGACTGTATAACACGTTCGCGACCTCCATACCACAATGAAATCAGGGGGCCACGCACATACTTCTCCGCCGGCCGAAGGACGCCCTCGTCGCCTGCGCAAAGTACGGCCGGGACTTCCAAAACCTCACGGCGGCGCAGGTCGTCCTCGCCCTCCGAGCCTACGCCGCGCAGCGCATCCAGGCCCAATGGCGCGGCTGGGGTCCCCGCCGCCGCTTCGCGCCCAAGATCCTGGCCCTTAGGAGGCTCGTCGAGCGGGAGCGGGCCATCCGGGTCGCCCGACGGCGGGAGGCGTTCTGCGGATGGAAGGCGGCGCACCGGTCGAGGATGGAGCTGATGCGGGGCACGAGGAGAGCGTTTCTCCGGTGGAGGATCGAGTCCGAGCGGATGGCGAAGACGTCGGCGCTGTTCCGCGGAACGTTCTGGCCGCTCTACGTCTGGAGGCGCTGGGCCAACTACCGCATCAGCTCCAGGGACAAGGTGTGGAGATATTTTCTGTCTAAATCCCGTGTGACAACGGTCATGTTTGGAGGCGGGCAGGTTGTTGTCAGAAGCGCAGAGAAGAAAGGTTGACTCAAAACCTTGGCATATTAACGAGTGAGCCGGGCATGCTAGTCCATGCACAGCAGAGGGGGATCGCCCCTCTACGAACACATATCGCCAATGATACACGAAACCCCCGAAATCCCCGTAGATCAGTATCGAGTGCTGAGTACCCCCAAACAAGTCATAACATTGTGCTTGTTTGCGGTTCTTGGTCTCGACGGATGGAAGTGTATGGTCCCAGGTGAATCTACCAGCAGCGCTATCATGAAACAATACATGGAAATCCCTACTTCCCCGGCTCAATTTGTTAGAACAGAACAACCAAATGCCACCTAGTGTATGATTGTCGCGTCGACTGTCTCATACGCGAAGCCCCGGGCTGGCAAGTCTGTTTGCGCGACCCTTTTCACCCCTTCACCTTGCGTGAACCTCCCTCCCATTGTGGCTTCTGTGTCGATTTCGCCTTGAACACAACACAATACCACAACAACAACAACAACAACAACAAAGGCAAAGTTTCTTCGGGAAGTCTATCTGACCGTCATCCTCGTTCGGCACTTTCGAGCGTGGAACGTGGTCACCGGGACGGGGCAAAGGCTCGTCGGCCGGGCTGACCGGGCCTCCAACACCCGCTTGAAGACCAAGGCGGACCGGTTGTTCAGGTACTGCGGAACGTGGCCACGGGTGTTGTTGACGTCGTGGCAACCGCCTTGCGCTGGTACTGTTTATCGTTGTCTTGTCCTTCGGAGGCTTGCTGCAATGATCAGAAGCTGCATCAACTAACAGGTAGACGGCGTTTTGATCCCCATGCCGCCAATATTCGACGAATGAACTTGATCTCGTGTACATGCTGATCCCAAGCAGTGCTCCACACCGTACTGCAACATACTTGGTCCAGCAGCTGTTGTTTCGTTCCGAAAGCGTAGGGTGCCAACGTATTGCTTGCCATATATATCGTATGCATATGCCGATGCCACCCGAGCTTGACGTTGCTAATCGCGACGTTTGATGTATGAAGACACGCCTCTTTGGCGTTCGGTGAACACGACGCCCGATCGTCTTTGAACCAGACTCCCTCTAGCTGTCCCGAACACCATTTTGTTCATATTAGCTCATGATGTTTGCTTGACGAGAAGACTGTCGATGCTGTGGGTATTTGTTTTGACAGATGGTGGGCGGCACGCATCAGAAAGAAGAAATTCCTAGAGAGGCAGTGGATCAACGGCGGCATGTGGCTTCGGCTGAGGATCAACACCCGGCAGGTCGCGGCAACCTTCATCATTCTGAGGCAAGGGTTCAATTTTATTTTTTGAACGACGCGTGAAAAACGCCCCTTTCGATTTATTGTACGCGTCAGGGCGGGAGACGGAAACCGTGCGGGAGGGGGGCAAGATAAGAAGGTGCATTCTAGGGCTCTTTCCCGTTAAACCATCACCAGCTATGTACAGCCGTCGGGAAAGCCGAGAAACGCGCCCCGTGTACCTCGCAGAGCGCTACGCCGAACCTGCCGGAAACGTCTGGTGTGCATGTCGCAGGTACTGGGCATTTGCGCGCGCCACCTGCGCTCGACGCAGCGACGCCCATTTCCGGTCCTACTACCTCCTCGGAGAGATGGACAGGAGGCACACTTTAACCGACAAAAGAGGGGGCCGTCATTTGCACGGTCGAGGAGACAACAAAGGGAACAACAAGCGCGTGCGGTAAGGCCAGTGCCGACAAGTTGTATTGTTGTTCGGGAGGAAGAGGGGGCGGCAGGGAGGGGAAAACCGGCAGATACAGAGCAAGTGCTAAGGCGGCTTTCGCAGCACGCTTCACATGTTTCGCACCGACTCCCGTCTCTGGCGTACTAGACGGATGTCAAGCGTCTTACACCCACCAGAGTCTATTCATGATGACAATGGCGAGATGGGATAGGCCGGCCAGCTGATCCCATCGAGGAAAAAATTGGGGTGACATCCGTTTCGATATCATTCACCTACGAACTCACCCGTGGTAAAGTCGTTCACTGTGTGCTCACCCCGTCCATACGGGTGTTAGCGACTTTGCTTTGCCTGACCTTCAGCATAACGTGTGTGAGGGTGCGTTTCCATGTAAAGCATCAATACTAGGAAGAACCTCGTTGCCCAGCTTGTTGTCGGAGCTAACACCCGCAACGGCGCTTGTCCGCTGGACGTACGTGCCAAACAGGCAGAGACCCGGCGGCCACCACTCGAGGTACACCACCCACGGGGGCAGTGGCAGCCGGAGCGGACTCTCGGCAGGGGGGGACGACGCCTTTGACAACCGCAACCACAGTGCTGCCGACGAAGACGACGACAACGCGAGCCGCACCTCACGTGGCGGTACGCCAGAAGAAAGCGCAACAGAACCCTCTAATTCTCCGAGAAACGAGAGCGGGGTCGGAGTGGAAGGAGACCGGACCACCAAGCCACCGAACAGCCGGGGCGGCGGGGGCAGGAGCGGCCGCAGGAGTCACCACAACGTGGGCGGGGGAGACCGCGGCGGGTCCGCCTCTGCCGCCGCTGCCAACCCGCCCATCGCCGTGCTGGGGAGGCCTAACTACGTCGTTTTTCCGGGCCTGAGGGACACCAATTTCGGCGAGGATGTCCCGGATGGGGGAGCGACCTTCGCGTGTGAGGTCTTGCGGGACCACTTCGAGAAGAAGGAAGTGCTGAAGGCCAGGGTGAACTTCTTGCTCTACCGGGTAAGCGCTTGTGGTAGGCTTATGTCTTCGTGAAATGCGCGGGGGAAGACGGACGAAGTAATGTCCGCGTTGTTGTTTCGGTGAAGGCTTCTGGCATTCCTTGGGTTGTGTACGTTATGTTTCCTTTGCTGGTCGCCACCACCGATACATAAAACAAGAGTGGAAGCAGCCATAGACAGTGTTTCCCGCCGTGCCGATGCCAGCACCGTTCTCTAAATCTTCAACCCCCTGCACCGTCCTAACGTGCGTGGTCGGTGCCGCCACTGACCAACAAATACGCAGGGCAGGCCCCCTGCTATCATTTGTTCAGTAACACACTTACCCTCTGTGTTATCGAGTCGGCGCTGACTTGATAACACTGGCGGGCTATACTCCCTAGCCCCGAAAAGTTTCATTAGCTTGGTAGCACAGGGGTGAGGTGTGTACCTATATCGGAAACTTCTGTGTGCGCAAAAATCCGCCAGCGATTGGCCTATTCTATATGCTCTCTCTCCCTTTTACTTATTCTCCCGCATCCTTGCCCTACACCCCCCCCCCTTCTCCAGCGCCTTGGGCCACAGGTACTGGCGCGCCTGAGAATCAAGGCAAACGAGAGGCAGCGCTCTCGCTATGCCGCGTACATAGACGCGCGTCGCGTGCAGAAGAAGTACCTGAAGGCCTGGCACTTTGTGATCGTACAGACCGCTGCCGTGAGGAGGTGAGAATCACGGCGCGCACGCGCGCGGGAGCGCTTGCGTGGAAGAAAGGGTCTGGCTCTCTATGCTATCTGGGAGACCCTACTCCTTCCGCGTACGTTCATGGCGCACGCGAACGCTCGTTCAACTTTGCTAGGAGCTATCCTCCCCTGCAGGCTCCCTACCTCACATCACGGCGAGCCGAGGTTTCTGAGCCATCAGCTGCGGTCAGAGTGTTTTCTGTCTCACTAAACTCCCTCTGTGGCCACCTTGCATTCCACACACCTTACCACACACCTGAACCCAATCGATTTCCCTGCAGACCGCGGCCCACTTCAAAAATATCGACGAAAGAGCGAATAACCTTTCATTCACCCTGCACCTGCTACCCCCCCACACGTTTCCTCGAAAACACCACCCCGTTGAAAGGGGGGTCACTGGGGAGGTTATGGTTATGACGCTGAACCAGGTCCGTGCCTCAATGCAAAAAGGCAGCCCGGAAGAAGGAGACCTGACGGGGATGGAAGGCCATCCGCTTGCAGCTGGAGCAACAGCAAACTTTGCCGGCGGCGCAGGCGCGACATTGGGTGAATGTACCGAACTCGGTAGTGGTGATCTGCTATGCGGTGTGAATCAGCTCGACGAGGACAGAAAAATTCGCCGGCGGCAAGTGGAGCGGACATCCATCCGCTCGAGCAGGGTATGTACTTGGGATAGAACGCCCTGCCTAGAGCAGCTCGTGGTCAGTTCTGCCATGCAAGAAACACAGGGAAAACGAACCGGGAGCTTGCGCGCACACACGACCATGCTTGCCGTTGGTCGAAGATCGTGCTCGTACCAAAGCCATACTCGTTTGTACTGAGCAGCAACACTCGCAGATATTGCGCAAAATATGAATTAGTTTGGTACCTTGACACACAAACACACACAGAAAATGGCGGATCTCTCAACTAGTTTATATCCGTTAGATGGTAGTCCGATGGGTTTCCTGACTCGTGGGTTGAGGGTCGACGGTCGAAAGGCTTGCCGCTCGAGCGACCGCCGCCTTTTCCAGCAGTGTGTACCACGATCCGTCGATGCAAACCGGCCAACTTGCATGGTTTTTGTGTTTATCATTTGGTGCCATGATTACAGCTGGTTGACAGAACGGTGTCGCTGAAGGAGCAGTCCGTGCAGGACGCGGAAAACACCGCCGCGTGGGTCAGCGCGCGCAAGGTCCGCGAGCGCGCCTTGGCAAAGTTCTTGATACGGGAGGGCGCCAGGGCGAGGTCGGCAGACGAAAAGGCCCAAGTGTTCGTCGCGGGATTCAAGGCAAGAGCAACGGCAACCTGCCCCCCCTCCGTCCTCGCGCGATTTCTATTTCGTTCCAACCAAAGCTCCCTGGACCTTGATCGGGGTTCTCATCTCGTTTGGACGTATCTCACCCCGGAGTTTCACCTACCCCGGGTGTACAAACCGCATACTTTTCCAACAAAGCATAGATCTTGTGTTCCGGGGCCGGCTAAATCCCACAAGAGACGGATATGGCCTTCGTTTTTTCGTCCGATTCGGCCGCTTCCTCTGCAAGTGTTGTGTGGCCGATATATACTACCGAGAATCATGGCTAACACGATGTCAGGGGGAGCAATGGCTCCCCGCGAGGAGGTACTTGTGTATAGCGATTGGGATCACGTAGGTAGTTTGATCCCGGCCGTCTAAATAGTCACCATGAACGATCATCATGTATTCAGCCAAGGAAAGACACTACTGAGTGTTTTTTCTCACTAAATATATCCTGGTCTAGGATGAAAGCGACGCGCTGCAAAGCTCGTTGTTTGTAAACCACAATCCACTTCGTAAGTCGAGAGGGAAGGGGTTGCTGTACCCTTCTCGAGATAAAAATACCTCAGGCAGGAACCGCAGGAGGGGGTCCAGCCCCCCCCTCCTACGTGACCCCGGTTGGGTCATCTAGCTAGTAAAAGTGGAGAATAGGGGCCAGAGGGGCAGACGATAGAGTCCAGTGATGGGAGAAAAAAAAAAACTACATAGCAGTTGGCGCAGTTTACCCTAGAGAAGAGCAAATGTCGCAACGAATTTTGACCTTGCTCAGCGAGACCCGGACTGCTCATCGTTCAACTCGCCCCCGACTATTCCCCATCCCCATACTCGTTGATTCCCGATTTTTTTACGGCCGCAGCAATACGCCGCTGAGAACCTAGTCAACGTGGTGGCACGCATCTTTTACACGGTGGTAGATGGCAGGAGGTCAGTAACACTCCGCAAGACCTTACGGCAATGGCGCAGCTGGTACAACATTCGACTGTCTGTGCAGCTCTACAACCGGCAGCGACTTCGCAACTGGTGAGTTCTCCGAGTTTTGCTGCAAGGCACACCGCAAGCAGCCGGACGCAACCACGACGCGTTCGTCGCTCTATTTCGCTCACGGTGCATCACCCATCCGAGCCTGACGCCCAGATGAGGAAGACGAAAAATGCTCACGTACACCTGCGAAAGCTGAAAAGACCAAAAACAGTGATCGTCCGTATCGGCTGGTCGACCAGTCGTAAGGTGTGATGCATAGGCACATCGGTAATTATTGTGGTGATATTATGGGCAATAGGTCCCGAACCTTGCCTCGGTGGCCAAGACGTGTGAACACACGTAGCCGTCGTTATCCTCATACGTGGTGCTGTTTCCCTGGCTTCCTTGCCGTTGCTTTGCATTCTGCTCTGTCTGTCTGTCTGTCTGTCTGTCTCTCACTCTCTCTCTCTCTCTCTCTCTCTCTCTCTCTCTCTCTCT